GCCTTGCAGTGGGTGGTGTGATCACTGGTTAGGTGCAAACTATACGAGGTGATTGGAGCTTTTGTAAATCTGCGTTTTGTGGACGACATTGTTCTCTTTTCAAGGAGTTTCATTGAAGCGGAGGTAATGACGAAAGAAATCAAAGTAGGGAATAGGATAGGAGTGAATCAATCGAGCGCATCTGTTCGATTCCATTTTCCAGCGCTCTGTTACGCAGCAGAGACGTGGCCTAACAGTGTGGCTACGTCGAAAGCTTCCCGAACACAGAGCGCTGAAAAAACGTCTTCTGAAGTTCAACCAACGCATTAAATATCTCAGCGGTCTTCACAATTTGCTTATTAGATCGTGTCTCCGTGATCTGTCGAGTACCTCCAAAGCAAAATATCTTTGGACTGGTCACATAACGAAAGAAACAAACAATAGATGGGCACTAAAAAATTTGTAATGAATCCTCCGCTAAGTAAAGCGTCCCCAAAGGCCACTGATCAGATGGCTGACGTGTTCGTTGCAGTTATGGACCAGCTGAAATTTGAGTGGTAACATTCAGTTCTCGACCTCACGATCATCGTCATTATCAACTTCATGGTGACGCTAGTGAGGGACAAAAACAGGTGGAAACAATGCTGTGGCCTGCACGACGAGTGACAGGCCATCTAAACAAAAATGCTATCTCAAACGATTATAGCTGCTCCATTATCACACAGCAGTCCTCAGTTAAGTTGATTCATAAGAAACAAGCTTTAGATTAATATTCCGAGCTTCAAATGCAATTATTGTTGCTTATTTTTGATTCTTCTTCTCCCTCTCAAGGTTCTCTTGTTTTACAAGTTTTACTGGTCCCCATAAGTTATATCAAACCTTTGCCTTGACGAGCATTACTGCTAGGAACTACTTTTTCTACTCTTTTCGGATAATCTATGATCATTCCATAATTCCTTCAACTGTTTTCAGATGTTCGAGTTAAGTACCATGCATGTGCCCCATACGTATAATCTTCTCTTCGAGGTTGGCCTAAGGAAATGCATGTGACGGTCAG